AATATATTCAACAATACCGATATCACCCTAAAATATATTCAACAATATAATATGAGAACAATAGTGCGCGAGAACAAATTTGCAAAAACAAATAAGAAATAACCATCAATTTATTTTTTAAAATATCATAATATCTTTAATTTAATCATTAAAGTATATGATAAATAGTCGTAAAATATATATAATTTATCACTTTTATTTTATTTTATTTTGGTTATTAAGATATTAATATGACAAATTTGCATAAACTTTTATGGACTATAGTGACAAATTTTACATATTTCAAAACTACCGACATTCTTTTTAAGAAAATATCCATCCCATTCTATGGGATGTTTTCACACCTTGGTGAAAAATCACAACTTTGTCTAAAATTTAAAGGTAGATCTTCAGACACACCCTTTTCACACACACGTCAAATCAAATTGATGAGATATCATTATGTTGTTAAAATTTAGTCTGGAGATGCATCTTCGTATCAATATTAGATTGATTCAGGAGATGCATCTTCGTAATAACCCTTAGTTTAATATTCAGTGAGTTTTTCGGAGATGTGATTCCAGAATATTCTTTGTTAGGTCAAACTAGAAAAAAAATCAAAAACAATAGTAGAATGTTAGAAAAACTACATAAGTTAACATCAAAATACTTAGCATTACATAGATAATCGTTAATATAAATTTAAACTTATTTTTCATTACAAATGGGTGGTTCGATCAGGACGTTGCAACATCTTTAAAATATCTTCGGTCGATCTTGCAATCGTCGCATCCATTTCAATCGACCATTTGTTAAGTAACGGTAAAATGTGCTACACATAATCTTTAAATCTTCATCAATCTTTAGTTAAAGCTTGTGAATTGTATCTTCCCTTAGTCTTCAATCAAGGTGAACGATACTCGAGTTTAACAACTCTTCGATTTTTTGGATATTGCATGAGAGTATTCAATTTAGATTTTAGATCGACGAGAAATATGTCATCAGAGACCCTAAATTGAAGTGGGGGATTTGCATCATTGAAATACACAAATGCAAGATGGGGATATGTATTCATTCTGATTTTGGTAAAGAACATGGAATGAGAAACCCCTATTTATATAAATTTTATACCAATTTGGACCTTAGAAACCATATCCTTTCATCAGGACATATTTTGGACATGCATATCCGGGCACGCCATTTTTTTTTACAAAATAAGGGTATTTACGAAGATTCACATCCGTAAAATCCCCGATTTTTTTAAATGGGGGTGTGTCCGGAGATGCATATTCGAATTCACCGAAAACACTGTTCATACATGACTAGTATAATATGCAGTGTAAATTTTAGAAACAGAAAAGCTGTCCAAAAATTTGTTCAAAAATTACCCTCAAATTTTATAACATTAAAGTAGTATAGATATTATGTATGTATCAAATTATATCGAGATTACATCATTGATAATATTATATTCAAAAAACTAAGTTACATTGTTAGATAAAAATTAAAATGTATCAAAAGATATGTCGCTACTTAAATCTATTGGTGGTTCCTTCTTATACCTTTTTTTATTTTATTCTTTTTTAATGTCACTCAACTTGGTGAACTCCTCCATCCTTTTCATAAAGTGATCCGACCAAGTTTCAACATATTTTAGGATATGTGTTGTCCACTTCGGTGATGTCTTTGGTATAAGACACCCGATTTTAAATAAACTTGAATAAAATATTGTGTTTTTGAAAGTCACCCAATACACATGATGCATCTTGATGGATTTTAAAGTGGCCTACTCTGAAGTGGAAAAAAAGTTTTCTAGAAATTGTATCTTGTCAAATTAATACACACTTTATCATATGCATTTGGTATAAGATGTCCCATTTTCGAAAAGTGCATCAATTTTTGAAATGGTACCGGACCACTGACACAAGAAGCAAGAGCATTGAGAATTGTATCATAATTTTCTTTTTTCCTATATAGTGATGTGTATGATTCCCCGTGCATCGTCAAATCTTGTATAAGTCAATGACAGACAAATCGGTGGTCCTTCTCTATTTTACCAAGCAAATTTAAAATAGCTTGAAAACCACAGTTGTCATCACTTTTAAGATTTACAATCCGCTCAATGTATTTGTGCATAAAAAACGACATATCTTCAATAAAGATGATTTTTTTATAACAGTGGTGGAGGAGATAGTTTGCTAATGCGAGCACCCTTGAAAACACTTTTTTGAGATTTTAGAGTTGAAGAATCCAAACAATGTGAGTCAACATGTTCAAAGTAGGAAGGAGGCAGTCTCTTAGAGTTGTCACTATGTATCGAGTTGACCTTTTTAGAGACATTGTTTGTTTTAACCGGTTTTGATTGTGGTCTCAAATTTGTTGATTTTAGATAGACAATCTTCCTCAGTTATTCTTTGATGTGTAATTTCATGATGTCATTAGCTTTCAAAAATATCACTTGGATTACTTCCCATTCAGTCATAATAGTTATACTTGATTTATCATCATTAAACCAGAGCTTTTGCACTGAGTATAAACTTCATCTATACGTATCGGTTTATCAAGTTTCATCTTCTTTGAAATTAAACAAGCACGTGGAAAATTATACGTCTTCCTAAGTATACAACCATATTTTGAGCTATCTGAACCTGTTTTATCTGCTCACTTGACTTCGTGAAAAATTAAAATGCAATCCCACCCGAGATATGTTGCCAACCAATTGTGAATAAAGGATGTTGTCTTTGAATTGGTGTTCCAACACAATAATGCTCTGACCAAAATTTGTTTGTATCTCATTATGTTGGTTTCAAAGAATTTGGTTCACGATGTCCCAATCTGGACAAAAATCACATTTACTGTTTCCCAACCAATTATTCAGTATAGCATGTGCATATTCAACTTTGTTAATTATTGTATTGCCAAACTTTCTAACCTGGTTGGTTTAGGCACAAACGATCTTCTCCTTCACCTCATCCAAAATAGTACTCTCAACATATTTTAGGAAATCTATATATCTCATACATGCCCTCCTTAAATGTATTAGATATTCAACATATAACTATTTCGTGGAAGAATTTATTATTCCAGTCCATGTATTCATTATCTTTTCTAACACCACACAAGGTTTGACCATTTTTCCATCTTCACATTCGATTTGTTTGGTGCCTACCGCAGTTTAACATCATCGTTCACTTCATCCAGTTTAACATCATCTTTCACTTTATCTGATTTAACATCATCATTTACTTTATCCAGTTTAACATCATCCTTCATTTCGTCAGGTTTAACTTCCATCATCATAGTAGCTTTGGAAAACATATACGCGTGCACTATATCTAATACCAACAATAACAGGAAAAAAAAAGATTTAAAATTCAAAGTATCAGGCACATCCGGAGAGGGATCTCTGAAAGAAATTAATTGAGTCCAGAGATGCATATCCGGACTCAACGTTCATACTTTCAGTTCAAAAAACACATTAATGCAAAGAATGATGGGTGAAATGGATGAAATTTACCTTACATTTCAACTTCTTTTTCTCCCTGTGATGTGATAAAATACAAGAAAGATGTTTTGGTGTTGAAAAGTTGATTGAGAATGAAAAAAATTTTTTTAGGGTTTTGAAGGTGAAGCTCCCTTTGATCATAAGGGACAAGAACATGCAAGGTGATGTTTTATCCAATTTTCCGCTTGACATTTGAGAAGATGCGTTTGCGGAATCATCGTTGAGTTGTTAAATAAACCAACTCAATGAATAAAAACACAATAAATGAGTATATGGGGTGTTACGAAGATGCATCTCCTGAGACACCCCAAATAACATATATATATATATATATATATATATATATATATATATATATATATATATATATATATATATATATATATATATATATATATATATATATATATATATATATATATATATATATATATATATATATATATATATATATATATATATATATATATATATATATATATATATATATATATATATATATATATATATATATATATATATATATATATCTTTGAACCAGATTTTGTAAAAAATATATATAAATAAAAAATAAATAAAATAAATAAAAAGTGGCTTCCAAAAATACGAAAAATGATGTGATTTTAGGTGCATCCGAAAAACATCTCTAAATACAAAAAAGAGATTTTCGATTTTTCAGAAGTGTGGGACACATCTTATAAAGTAGGATGAGTATTTCATTTTTTTTATTGTTCTAATGACCAACCTGACTACTTAATTAAACATTTAAATATTTAGTAACGAGAAAATTGTGGTGATCTAAGTTCAAACTCAAAATTCCACATAAATTGTCAATTAGACTAATAGATTCGACCCAAACTACATGTTCCTATTTTTAATAAGATTCTGACTAAAAGCATATAAGTGATATAAGTGTTGTAATGTGCCTCTCTTTGGATATCAAATAACCATGTATGTAAAGGTATAGGATAGTCAGCAATTTGACAACTAAAACAATAAGAAATGTTGGATAGAATATTATTTTTAGTGTCATAGGATAAGATTGATTAGTTAGTTAATGTTTCAAAATTTAACATTGGAACATTAGAGCAGTATAAATCGATATCCAAAATTCTCATTAATAAAGAAAACAGAAGCTCTAAATTGTTTTTTTAGTGTGCTTAAAATTTGTGCCCGAGATTTTATGACCGTGAAAATTTTGCTCATGAATACAAGATAATATAGATATAAATTTAGAACTCAATGCGAGAAATTTGTCTAGACTCAACATGTCCTTTTAGTAGAGATATGAAGCAACAGAGTAACCGTAAAAAAAGAAAATGGTAGCAAGGACTTTTTATACTATATTTGGAATTTTATATAAAATGTTTCAAATCTAAAGTTCTCTCACCGTGCTTTTCCCAGAATCCAAACAATTATTGAGGTTTAAATGAATACAAACACTCTATAAACAACATAGATACACAACCTATACATATGGAATATATGTGACAGTTATAAATGCTTAATGTGTTTCCTATGGATTTGAAAGAGTAGCCAGCCAGGGAAGCAATTTTTCATGAACTAACTCAGGCCTGTCATCATGAGGACAATGTCCAACCCCTTCAAGTAAAAACAGTTTAACATTTTCTCGTTGCGAAGGCAAAGAAGAAAAGTACTTTCCAACAGGTCCATCAATTGGAGTAAACGGATCTTCATCTCCCCATAAAAGTAAAATAGGCGACGTGATGTTTGGCACCAACTGCAACGGAGTAGGGCCTGGCGGCCCTGTTACAATCGATACAAACGCGTCTAAGGCCCCTTCATCATTTGCTGGCTCCCTAATGATCTCCACAAGTTCATCATCCACAGACTCCTTATTTCCATATACTGAACTCAAAATGTTCCTTAAATTCTCTCTGCATTTAAGCAAAATGTAATTCTAGTTTGGTTCTTAAAAAATTAGAACTAAATAATGGCTTAACCTTGAGAGAAGATTGTTATTACCTTTGTTTAACTCGCTCGAAAATGGCTGAGGCGATTCCCCTTTGGTTCAATAAAAAGTCAATTAGCCAAAGCAATGGTAGTAGTAACTTGATCCTCCAATCATCAACAATTGCTTTGTTGTTCATGCCACCGGAACAATTTAACAGCACAGTTCCTCTAACGAGAGTTTCACTTGAATCTGGTTGGATCCTATACAAAAAACATGTTTCTGATGCAAACTCTATTATGTTTAACAGTTCGACAGAAATTTAAGAAAATGTCAAACATACATGCCTGAAGCAGCAGCAATGAGACAAGCAAGACTTCCAACCGAGTTTCCTATTAGTACCGTCGGCTTCTTAATAACTTCATCCAAGAAATCCAGGATCAACTGTTTGTATCAAATAATAGTATACCAGGTACAAGTTAAGTTTGTGATGCTAGAGTGCTAATCATAATTCTAAATCGCGGCAGCAGTTGTGTTGCAAACATGAAAATGCAGACAAATATAGCCACGATTACAGTTACAGTTATAACATCGCTGTTTGTTGCAGATACTTCTAAAATCTTGCTACCGTAATTGCAGAAAGTGGTAATAATTACTAGAAATTCAGATACGAGTCAGGGGTTTGAACTCTAGTGTTGGCGTCCAACTTAACAATATCGACTTTTGCCAGTTGAGCTAGGATTTGTGCAGACAACAATTTTGAACTAGGTGTTAGGATGATCAATGAAAATATCAAAAGATAAATTACCTCAGCCCATGTTTCCATGGTGTATGAAAAGCCTGGGGGCTTATCTGATGCTCCAAAACCAAGAAGATCAATAGCATAAACAGTATAATTCTGAGACAACGTCTTTATATTCCTGAACAAAACAAACACAAAAAACACTTATTTTTAATGTAACAACCACATAACACTACAGTCACACAAAAAATATACTAAAGTGATAAACAAGGATAATGGTATTTAATATTTATATATATAAAAAAATAATTAGTGGATGAGAATTGAGAAATGAAACATACCTGCGCCAATGAGGAATGGAAGCACCGAAGCCATGGACAAGTAACAGAGGAGGGTGATTGGGCTGAGGAGAATCTGAATCAGAAGAAACAAAATAGTTTATGGAATACTGACCCTTCCACTTCCACTTGAGGCATTTCTGTTTAATCTTTTCAACTTCAGATGAGGATTCAGAAGTTTCAATGGAAGTAGGAGAAGAAGTTGATTTGATGATGACACTTTTACGGTTACTAGCATGATTAGTACCATAACAAACATTGCTTTTGGTTTTTATGTGGTTTATTGGATGAAGATAACCATGAAGAAGAGGATTCTTTTGTGTTGTGGTGGTTCTTGTGGATACGAACAAGGTTCCATTGTTGTTGAGTTTTTCAAGTTGTGAAGAGCGTGTTTGAAAATTGAGAGACCCGATTGAATGGACAGCACTTGGTACTTCCATTTCTGGCTATGATGTCTCTGAATCTGGCTTGTCTTTACTGTTTTGTTTTCCTTGCAATAAGCTCTTAAAATGGGCTTAAATAGTCAAAGTATGAGATTTTGCGTCGCATCCTTTTATTTTAGAGAATTTTTTTTTTCTGTATTTCTTGCGCACCGTGTGAATTTTCATTTATGTTTTTAGATTTTGGAGATATATCTTTGAACGCACTCTCTTTTTTAATAAACATTAACATATTTCGGAGATATACTTTTAGAACTAATTAAATTTTAAACGCTCATATCATATCTCTCATAACTTTTTTTTTTAATATTTCCTAAGATGCATCTACGAGAATATTCTCGAGATACATCTCCGAAGTGTATAACGAGTTGTGTGTTTGTTTTTAGATGAATTATGAAGAACGATATCGAATAAAATAACAGACATATAAAATAATATAGCAATATAATAGTAAAATGTCGTAAAACACCAAATCCAAAATGTAGTAACAATGTCAGGAAAAAAGTACAAACTATAGTAAAACATCAAAACAATAACAGGCTCCTACTGGGTGTGCCTGACAACCTTTCCTCCACCTCATGTGTCTGCTCTATTTGGTCTACCTCCTCGGCCATCGATCTCCCCCGTCCTCGCATGATGTCTACGGTACAATAGTGTCTCATATGTATCCGCAACCATAGCATCTAGTACTCGCCGCACAACAGATCCGTCAGAAAAGATACACTCGTCAATGTCTACCCGCGTAATCTTCATTATGCGACGACACTGAGGCAAGACATTCTCAGTATGATTTAGTTGAGCCTGCTGCTCCTCTAGAATCTCCTGATGAGCTGGTATCAGCGGATCTCCTGGAGTAGTCGGTACCATGTACGAATGTGATACCGTGAGGAACAATCTGATGTATTTGTCCACGTAGCTCCAATCATTCAAGGCTATGGTAGCCTGAGCCTCATATGTTACCAGATGACTCTAATAATCAGCAAACATCTCATTCATCTATATACGAGTCAAGGCAGTTGGAGCAGAGACAACGGGATGTCTAGGGATGGTTTGGATGTACCCGAACTGCCGCATAACGCGTTCAGGCAGACCAGGAGCAGTGATACGCGATCCACAGGCCAACCATCCAGAGTATAAAGATATGTTGTTAAATGGTTGCGTCTGATGGTGATCTATGTAGCAATTGAAGGGATGTCCTCGGCAGCCAAGCGGTCAAGATAGACTCTGAAAGGCTCGACTGCCTGGTTCCCTCTTAACGGGATAAAAGCACAGGCACGGGACATCTTTTTAGTGTACTTATCCCAACAGGCCCAGCCAGCGATGCACGAGAATTGTTGCAGGATCCATGTCTGAAATAAAAATAAAAAGCATTCAAGGATCAAGAATTATCGCAAATATGAAATGAAAAAGATTAAATATAAAAAAAAACTTCATGGATAAAAAATTATTACCACCAGTAGTGTCGTATTGCCTATGACCTGTTTTATCTTTCATCGACATCCATCTCTCAACTTTGAATACATATAGGCCACACAAGCCACCCCCCAGTTGTACTCATGGATTCATGTGAGATCCAAGAAGTACCGAAGGTGTGCAACGTCACTATATGTGGCACTCGTGTCCACAAAAATACAAGTGTCAACCAAATAAAAAATATGCTTTCAAAGCATGAGTCATGTGTAAGGCCACCTGCTCGGCATCACCATCAGTCTGCTATACAGCAGCGATCTCATCATCAAATATATTTTTCAGGAACTCAAACCTAGCATGGGCACCCCTGGTCCTACCCACCTCCTTAACCGTGTCTCCTAGATCAACCCCCAGATGCTCCACCATCATCTCGATTGTCTCGTCTTTGGTCATCCTACCATGATGGAGAAATTTCCCCTTGATTAGAAGTTGCAACAAAGATGAGACATCATCTAGTGTGATAGACATCTCAGCATTCGGGAGATGAAAAGAAGACGTCTCATAATGCCATCTCTCCATGAATGCATTAAGCATCCAGTGGTTAACCAGACTATAACCGGTCATGCATAGGTCACGCAACCGAGAAGCAGTTAGAACCGACTGAAACCACTGGTCTTCCGGCTGATGCAATGCTAAAATCTTCCTCTCATGGTTCAAAAGCTTATGGGGATCACGCATCTGCAATTTTCTAAAAATAATTAATCTCAATAATAATCAAAGTTAGAAATAATCAATGTCAACAATTTAAATTAACATAAAAAATCAGACTAATGTTACGTCTTTGTCCCAAATATATCTGGCAGTGTGGTCTGGATAAAGAGGAAGTAGAAACATATCAGATGAACCCCCTTCGAATCCTTCTTGCTCGGCATCGTTAGCAACCTCACCCTCCGGAGGTGGCACCAGATCAGCAGGGTCATCAGCGGGAGGTGGTACCAGATCAGCAGGGTCATCAGCAGGAGGTGGCACCAAATTAACAGAAGGTGGCATAGGTGCATCCCGACGTCTGCAGGAGGATGGGGGAAGTGACACATAAACTGGTGCATCTCGTCTCTTACAGGAAGAAGAAGAAGAAGGTGGAGTGGCCTGAGATGAATATGGAGTGGTCTAAGATGAAGATGGAGTGGCCTGAGATGTAGATGGAGTGGCCTGAGGTGAAGGTCGAGCTCCAAGAGTAGACTGAGTCCAAGGAGTAGACTGTGCCCCAAAAGTCGACTCCTCTGCCAGAATAGATGCACCTGCACCCTCCAGAACCTGCTGGTTTCGTTCCCACCAAACAGATGCGTGCTGGGAAACCCGTCTAAGTCTCAGTCTATCGACTTTGTCAGTCATTATGCCTGCAAGGTAAAATTAGCCATATAATTAGTTTACACAAAGAACAACACAAACAAGAAAATTATAAAAGAAAAAACAGACTGAGGAAATTCCAGAGATATATCTACAGAAACATTCCGGAGATGTATCTCCGAAATTTCCTAAAGTATATAAAACGTTGAACTTTTCGGAGATGAGTCTCCATAAATTTCTGTAACTCAAAGATCGTGACAATGGCGTCCTCTACTACTTAGAATATGAAAAATACAGCTCTGATCGTCCATTGGAGCCAACAAACAATACATACACTTACTTTAAACTATGTTTCATGTGATTTCTAAACATTTTTACACCTAACAATTGATTCTAACTCGTTTACAACAAAACTCAAATATTTACCGAAAACTCAAAAAACTTACCTGAAATTTATGATTTGGAAGATGTTGAATGATGAAATGGATTATGCTTGATGTTTACTTGAAGCTTCCTATTGATGAAATCTGGTTTGGTGGAGTTGGAGAAGTTTGGGATTGAGAGAGTGGAAGAGTTTGTGAATGAAAATGAAAATGAAAAATGAAGGAGGAGAAAAGTCTAACACGTTAATATGCTCCAAAATGTTTCGGAGATATATCTCTGGAATATTTCAACGTTGACTTTACTTTTGGAGTGTCCGAAGATATATCTCCAGAATATTTTAACGTTCAATTGAGTTCTGGTGCGTCTGAAGATATATCTCCTGAATCAAGGGGTATATGTGAAAATTCACATGGTGTGGAAGAAATCTATAGGATGTAAAAAGAAATCCTTTTATTTTAATTTGGTATCCTCAAAATTACCCTCTCACGTTTATTTCATTAATAATTTTGGATGAAATTTTCGATAGGCCAATAAAAAATTTGATAGGCTAATAAAAAGTTATGTACATTTTTACTGAAATTTTTTTAAAAATTGATGTGTGGCAAAATTTGCCAATTTTTTTCAAAAACATTGAAGATTTTAGAATTTTTTTCCATAATCTTGAAAAATTCAATAGTATTAATTTAGCGTTATTTTCAAAAAAAATCATGTGTATGACAAATTTTTTTCTTTTTTCAATTTGAAAAATGAAACAAAATAAAATAAAAAACGATCATGTATTTATCGGCATTTTTAAAAAATATGGTATTCAGTATGTGTTTTATTGATATTTTTGAAATTGTTAATATGCGTGTATACTTTTTATCGACAATTTTAAAATTTTTGATAAAAACGCAGGTAGAATACAACGATTTTGAAAATGCTGATAAATAAGTATGTAAGAAATTGGATTTTATTAAACATTTCAAAAATGTTGGTTAAAAAATATTTTTTCCGTGAAAAATCTAGTATAAACTCAAAATTTCTGATATAAATGCATAAACTTAATATAAAAAAATGCTTATTTGTAAAAATATGGTAGAAGTTTTAAAAATTGTGGTAAAAATCCAAGATTTTCCAAAATCTCCGAAAATGACAATTTCAATAATAAAAATTGTGATAGGGTATTATGGGAAAATTGCAATAATTTGGGGTGTTAAGTTAAATTGAAAGGGTGGCAGGATAAATTCTCTCAAAATATTGGAGAGTTGGTTCAACTAACTAATGGTCCACTTTTGAATAGGGTGAAATTTTTTAGGGTTGTTCACTACACCTTATGTAGTACTCCTAAATACTATGGAAATTTGAAAATTGTCTTTGTCACTGTTCAAATATTAAAATTCGAACGCACCACAATACAAAAAATTAACAAATATAACATTGAATGTTCTGGAAATACCCAAAATGCCCTGTTGTTCACACGACGCACCACATGGCTCTTTCTACAAGCATCATTCAACTATGTTTTGCCACAAACCACATCCTGTAATGCCCAATTCAAACTTTCAATTTGAAATTTCAATTCTTTCTCTCTCATCCTTTCTCTCTTTCTTTCCATCTCTCTCTCTCTATCTCTCTCTCTCTTCTTCTTCCTTATTCCTCTTTTTCTCCCCCTTCTTTTTCTTTCCCCCCCTTCTTTTTCTTTCCCCCCTCCTCTCTCTCTCTCTCTCTCTCTCTCTCTCTCTTCCTTCTTTCTTCTTCCTTTTTCTTTTTCTTCCTTCTTCTTATATTTTTTTTATTGAAATCAAACTTGAATCAAATGATGATATGCGACACACACGATGCCGCTTCGTATGGGGTTGACAAAACGGAAGTTGCAT